TTTTTTATAATTCTTACTATTTACTTTAGAACCTTGCGTTTCATGTGTCATTGGCCTTGTGCATTCCCCCCTCCAAACGGATGTGCAGGCCCACAATTCACAATTTAGTGTGTCAGTGTCACTGTGTGTCTGTGTGAGTAGTTTGGGTAAATATTTGCCCCGGTCGTAAAAGTTACCACCACTGTCAAAGATACTACAGCTACAAAGTCTCAACAAATTCGTCATCACCCCACCGCCACTGACACCTTTTGTGAAGGCTGAAAAATCAAGATTTTTAAAGAAACAGAGGCAAAACAAATATTAGGCAGTCTAGACGAGAAAAACTCAAGTTCAGTTGAGTTTTCAATTTCAGAAAAAACCGCCAGTCAGCAGCTTATTAAAAAGCAGCACATTGCCTGATTCTGGTTCTGAATCATTGTCATTGCCTTTATCATCAGTATCTGTTAACAGACATTTGAACGCTTACGTTTGCTAACAAGGCACAATTCTCCGGCTAACTGTCCAGTTAACTGTTCAGACAGTCAACTTCTACCGTTTGAAGAAAGACGCCGGCACTGAAGTAAGATTGAGGGGGAAAGACAGGATGCCGTTAACTGGCTTGTTTGCCTGTTAGCTTTCAAGTCGGCTCGATTCGTCTGTTCGTTAGCCCTCTCTCCTTCTCTCCAACTCGACCGACTGATCTGCTAGTGAACGGACAGTGTTCGGTTTTCAGTGTTCCTTTGCCGCCAAATGCCGGTAACTGATCTTTCTCTCTCTCTTTTCAAGGTCTTTTTCTCTTCACAGTCTCATTTTCTCTCACTTCATCTCTCTGATTTGGTGTGCCTTATCAGCCCCTAGTTTGTCTCTGTCTGTGTGTGTTCTCTCACCTCTATTTTTTGCCATTGAACTTTATGCTCTAATTTGGCCAATCGAATCGACCACCACCTTCATCCATCGCATCGTTTTCATCAACTATTAATACCTGCGCTTATTTCATCATCAGTTTTGTCTCTCAAACACCCGTTAAATTCTTTTTTTTCAACGTTCACTGCCACTATTTAAGATAGGTGCCCTCCATCGGTCCCGGTCTCTCAGTATGTGACCGAGTGNGTGTTTGTCTCTCAAACACCCTTTAAATTCTTTTTTTTCATCGTTCACTGCCACTATTTAAGAAAGGTGCCCTCCATCGGGCCCGGTCTCTCAGTATGTGACCGAGTGTCAGTGGTGATCGTTTTGACTACAAAAAAATCCCTGCGACTTCAAATGTTCTTTACTTATCCAATCTCTCATCGGTGTTTTGACTGAGATCGTTTTTTACTTTTTTCGTTGTTACTCGAGCTGATAAAAGTTCAGCTGCAATATCATGTGGTAAGTGTGAATGACACTTTGTGTCATGCTCTTGTTGTTTTGCTTCCTCATCAGTTTTGTGAGATAGCATTCTATTTCATCAGCCAAACAATCTCATTTGCATTTTTAATTACCCCCTTAACCCTATGCTAATTAGGGAAAACAGTGAACAAAAGAGCATTAGCGCACTCAATCAAAGGTCGACCGGCGTCATGAATGTTTCAGTTTTGATCATCATCAGCCAAACAATCTCATTTGCATTTTTAATTACCCCCTTAACCCTATGCTAATTAGGGAAAACAGTGAACAAAAGAGCATTAGCGCACTCAATCAAAGGTCGACCGGCGTCATGAATGTTTCAGTTTTGATCATCATCAGCCAAACAATCTCATTTGCATTTTTAATTACCCCCTTAACCCTATGCTAATTAGGGAAAACAGTGAACAAAAGAGCATTAGCGCACTCAATCAAAGGTCGACCGGCGTCATGAATGTTTCAGTTTTGATCATCATCAGAGTTCTGCAGACTTATTGCGTCAACAAGATCATTTGCGACAACACTCAAAGTTCAGTTCAGTGTCTGCGGTAGTGTGACTGAAGTGAATCATCAACAGCAAGAAGTGTATGCTAGAGAATGCTGTCAATCGGTATTAGCATTACGCAGTTAGTAGTAGGCAGCGAAACGAGAATGATTGATGAGCGATGACAGCAACAACGTAGGTCAGTGAATTTGGCTGTTGCAAGAATGAATTCCATGCTATTGCAGCAACTACAGTCTGCTGTTGTTGCTTTTTCTGCGTGATTCTTCGCAGGGCACACTGCAATTAATCTTCGATCGACGGTGGAGTTGAGTGTGGAGTGTGCAGACCATTTCAGGAAATGCACTCCACCAGCTAATTGCAGTAATTGGATGAGTGTATTGGGCTACAAGAGTCGAGGAGGGGGCANTACAGTCTGCTGTTGTTGCTTTTTCTGCGTGATTCTTCGCAGGGCACACTGCAATTAATCTTCGANCCAGTCTGATGTTGTTGCTTTTTCTGCGTGATTCTTCGCAGGGCACACTGCAATTAATCTTCGATCGACGGTGGAGTTGAGTGTGGAGTGTGCAGACCATTTCAGGAAATGCACTCCACCAGCTAATTGCAGTAATTGGATGAGTGTATTGGGCTACAAGAGTCGAGGAGGGGGCACTTCAACTCTTTTTCACCTAATAATCAGAAGGGGTTAATACTTGCTGCTATTAAACTTCTCTCTCTCTCTCTCTTTAAAATCTCTGCCCTCTCCGATATCATCGTATTATCCTATCATATGACCATTTGGTCCCCACTCCTCTTGAGCGCATTTTAAATTTTTCATCGCTTCTGCGTTTACATTTTTTGCGCTCAGTTGCGCCCAGTGCACGACGCTGAGCACAAATTAGACGTTTGAAAGGGATGGCCGCCTGTCAACGTCTAACTCTCAGTCAGTGTGTGTGTTGATTTTATTGCCAGCTTGAAGGAAGGAAGAAAGGGAGAGAAATGATGAAGATGTTGAACAGAGTTCAGAGTGAAGAACAAAAATTAGCAAGTTAACAGTAAACTGAGCTTGCACTGCTTCTTCTTTTTCTGCTTCTGCTTTCCAATACTGACCCGTTTTGTTTGTACTTCGCAAAAACATACATAGGATCAATTTTAAGCAGAGGTTCTCTCGTTTGTTGCCCAGCAGGGTGTTATGGATTCAGCCAGAAAAAACAGAAGCAACTAAACACAGAAGCAGCGCACACATTCACCATCATAATCGGAGAACGTTACTGCCACTGTTTCTGCTGTCCGTTGTTCTCACCCTCAACCTCACCAGTGCCAACTTCCGTCCAAAGGTGAAGGTCATTAGTAGTGGTAACAGTCTCGCCAGCAGTGGCTTCAGTGGCAGGGGCAAAATTCTGGAGAATTCGCCCATCTACTACTTAAAGGTGGGCAATGCAGGTTTGCGCAACGGCAATAAAAATCCGCCTTTGTCATCGTCATCGTTTTTGTCACCTTCGCCGTCACCCTCCTCGTCGTTGATGCTTTCTGGTGGCAGCCTCAAACGTCGAGTCAACTCCAATCTCTATAAACTGCCGCTCAGTTTTGTCTCCAATGCCAAGCCGGTAGAGATTATTCAAGGTAAGTGAAATTCTTCGGTGGGTGACAGTGTCTGCAACTGGTGCTCACTGAATCGACGAAAATTGCTATTTGACATTTCAATTTCTCTTCTTGTCATCTCATTTTTTTCAATGCACAGGCATCACTGGCAAGAAAAAGAAACCCTTTATTGACTATCACAGCAGCAGCAGCAACAGGGTTAAAGTGCACTCGAATGCACTTGGCAGCTCAAACTACAAGCACAGCTCGAAAGTGTTTTACCTGCCAACTAAGTTCGTCTCCAATGGAAAACCGGTGAAACCGATCCTCTTTTCTTCCACTTCTAAAATCAACAACAACAGCGGCAAACGAAAGTTCTACCAGCACTATTATGGCTCGAAAAAACGGCTAAAGTACGGGCAATTTTAGGAGGTGATCACATCGAATCGCATCGCATCGCTGCTGTCATCATTATCATCGCCGTCACCACCATCATCACCATCACCCACCCAGCCTTGTCATCATTGCCATCTTTTTCTTCTTTTTCCCCTTTTCTTTCGATACTCCACTTTTCCCCCAATATAAATAGTACGCATCTATTTCTAACTCGCTCTTCTGTATTTATTTATGCTTTAACCCTTTTTTCTCTTTCTCTCTTGCCTTGTTCTTCTTCCTCCACTCAATCTGTTGTATGTAACGTAACCGTACTCGTTAACCAATAAATCAGCCGGCAGTTTAAAGTATCAGCAGCAGTATCGACAGTTTGATGTCTTGAACGGTTCAACAGTTGTTGAGGTGCCTTTGTGCAATTTTAAAAATTACGATGCTCAGTGTGTGCTGCTAATGTTGTTGTCGTTGTCGTTCTCTGGTAAGGGAAGGCAACAACTCTTTCATCGCATTCTTTGGCAGCTCTGGCTAACTAATCACGACGATCTCAACTGTTTGGTTCAGTTCAGTGCAGTTCAGTGCTTCTCTTTGCGGCAGTCTTTAATTAGAAAGTATACTAATCAAGTTTAGTGAGCTTGCGCGCGCCTTTTTCATAATTAATAGAAAAGACGAAATGATGATTTAGTGCTGCTGATGATGCTCAAAAACCGTTTTTATTGAGCACACACAGTGCTGCCTTGAACTCTGGCTATTATTCAATATAAACGTTGAGAGAAGTAGCAGTCAACTTGATTAAAAACGGGACAGACAGAGGGATGAAGAAGGGAAAGAAGACAGAGATTTAACGAAGATCAATAGAAAATGTCGATTATCAAATAAAATTAAGTGCAGTGCATTGCTGTTGTTGTTGTTGTTGCTAAAATGACAAGGTGATGAAGTGGTGCTCTGCTGATAATGATGGTGATGAAGTGTAGTGGTGATAGAAATAAATAGGGCGAAGAAAAGATAGAGAAAAGAAAAGATAAACTAGCGTAAGATATTAGTAGAGGAAGAAGAAAAAGGTAGAAAAAGGTATGAAGACGATGGTGGTGCTGTTCAACTTGAAAAGTGTTTCCTTTCAACAAAAAGTAGATCTCAATCATTTAGTTTGTGTTTGGCTCTCAGAAGTCCCTCGCCTTGGCGGCGTCCTCTAGCTCACGCTGCGGATGCAGCAAGTGGCTGCAGGAATGGCTACGAGAAACGTTTGCTTGGCGGTTGGGCTCCTAGAGAAAAAAACACAAAATTAATTTTCACAAAATCATCAACTCAATAAAAAGAAAAATCTCACATAAATGGAGGGCGATCGGAAATTCCTGTTGGCGGGCAGCACCCACCGGTCCTTGATGTACTTGCGCACCTCCGTCACCGGATATCGCTTACTCGGCTTCACCTCCATCAGCCGGCGGAACATTCGGAGCACCCGCGGCGTGAAGTCGCGGAAGAATCGGGGCGTTCGGGTGCTCTTGCGCTTCTGCCAGTCGACGAACTCATTGAAGATCGGGTCGGTGATGTCGGCCTTGTCCCAGGGGTACTTCGCGGTGAGCAGCACGACCAGCATGATGGCCAGCTGCCAGACGTCGCTGCCCGTCTCGATGCTGTAGCCCTCGAGGAGGACCGCCTGCCAGACTTCCGGCGGGCAGGAGGGCAGCGACTTGACGCGCTTTTTTACTGTACAAAAGAAAAAAGTTTTATTTTTTGAAACTCTATGACTTTGCTCAGAAAGTACAAACCCGTGGTGCCGACGCGTCGTGTAAGGCCAAAGTCGGTCAACTTCACCTTTGTCAGGTCCGGATTGAAGATGAGAATGTTTTCGGCGCTGAAATATTAAGAAAAAAGTTAGCTTTCATTTGAAACCTTTATTATAATCACCACTCACCGCACATCTCGATGCACCAGCTCCAGTTCGTGCATGAACTGCAGCGCAGAGACCATCTGCTCGATGACTGCTCAGGCGATGATTAGTTTAAAGGGTTAGTTTAAAGTGGAAATGAATTAATTCAGCAGTGCTCAATGATGATGATGATTACTATTCATCAACTAACCTATTTTGACGTTCTTCTCGTCCAAGCCGGCGCCGTTGGTGCGCTCTACCACCTTAGCAGAAAGTTTAAAAAGTTTAAAATTATTAAACTGCAAAAAAGATATGCTCCATTACATTCCACAGATCGCCAAAGGGGGCGACCTCGCAGACGAAGTAGTAGTGGTCACGCGTCTCAAAGGCCACATCGTAGGTGTCGAGGATGCTGTAGTGCGGCGACAGAAAGTAGCTGTAGTGGAATTCAATCAGAAAGTCCCGCAGCGTGGTCGTCGCCCGTGGCACCGCCTTTAGGGCCACCTACAAAAATTGCACAAATTAGAAAATCATAAGATCACAAAGTAAAACAACAACTCCTACCTCAAATCCAGAGAGCTTGTGCGCCGCGAGGATGACCTTGCCGTAGTCCCCCGAGCCAATCTCCTTGAGAACGTCATAGTTCGCCTCAATGTTAACTGTCTCCAGTTGGAGGTCGCGAATCTTGTGAATCGACAGCTGCTTCTTGCTGGCGTTGCCGCTGGGGCCGCTGCTGAAGGTGGCGTAGTTGGTGGTCGCCATAGTGGTCGTCGTTGTTTTAATGGAAAGAAAAGTACTTTTCTAATGCAAGTTTGAAGTAGAGTCAGAGAAGAAGAGGTAGAAGAGGAAGAGTGAGACGGAAGACAAATGTCATTTAGATCATCGGATGCTGCAATTGTTGCTCCTAATTCAGTAGATGAGGGTGGTGGTGGCGGTGGTGATGGTGAAACACTAGTGAAATACATTTAAGTTAGTCTTAGAGCTGTGTGATTGTGGGTAATCGCTCATCGAAAACAAAAGAAAAGGCTGAGATGGAGTCCGAGCGGAACGAGAAGTGGCAGAAGCACTTCTCCTCACTTCACTCGCTCAGCACGTCTCAATTATCATCTGAGAAGCTGCTGCCGCTGTACAGCGATTTCAATTTACATTTGCGTTCAAGCGCGTACTTTTCAGTACAGTTCTCTACTAGTAGATTAAAACTGTGGCTTTGTCTGTGTGCCTGTCTATGCGCACCAGCGGAGCGGCAGAATTGGCTGGAAAAGAAGAAGCACTGGGAACGCAAAAGATGGGCTAAGCTGATGAGAAGTGGCTGCTGCTGCTGCTAACTCTCTAAGAACTCTTAGAACTCGAGTAGTTTCGTAAGCACAGTGAAAGACTTCTTTGCCAGCAACAGCAGCAGCAGCAGCTTTGATCTTTTTGTTTGTTAGACGCTCAGACATGTCTGCTCAGCACCAGCAGCACTGAATAAGTCTTGCTACTGCCGCCGCTTCTGCTTCTGCTTCTGCTTCTGTGTGTTTTAAAATGCCGCAAATACTTTTTTAAATTTAGTGCTAAAAGTAGCTCACTTGCTCCTTTCTGACTGACTAACTAACTGCAAATGGGTGCAGTGCTCTGGCTCGACAACTTTCGGTCTGTGGCTGCTGCTGCTTCGAGACACTACAATTATCACTTGGCCAAAAAGTAAGAAGAAGAAGAAGAACTTTAGTGCAAGCGAAAGAGCAGCAGTTATTCTTTTCTGGTCGCGGACAAGTTCAAGGAGTACATTTGCCGCCGCCGTTGATGCTGCTGACGATGAAAAGGTAGTGCAAATTCGAGCAGTCACATTCACATTCAGTGCCAAAGCAGTTCAACGCAGAAGATTGTTAGTCACTGCGTGATTGACATTCTCTCGTTGCTGGAGCAGAATAGAAAGACTGTTCGATGACTGCCACTGCTCTTCAGAAGAATCTGTCAGTGAATCTGAAGTGTGACTGCCTGAACTTTGTGACAAAAAATCCACCTATTTATCCGAATTCGACACCTAGAGCAACAGTTGGTCGCAGTGGATCAAAGAAACAATAACATTGAGCCAAATAATATTTTTTAAATATACTAATTAGCTAAAAACTCTTTAATAAAAAATATTATTAAATTGATTAATTAGTTATAAAAACAATCACTGCCTCCCCCTTTTCTCTTGCGTCAGACACTTTTTCCACTAATTGGCACTGATCAGTTTGTTTGTTTAACATTAAAATTCGAATAAAGGAGAAATAGTATTGAGGTTGGTAGGTCTCCGAAAGGGAGTGATTGTGAAAGAAATTGTGACCATACAAACCACACATTTTGCAGACCGACAGACAACCAGACAGAAGGCTAATCAGCGATTAGCCCCAAAAAGATGGCACTGATTGGCCCCAATCACAAATGAGCTTATTTTGATAATTCTAACTCGCAGGTGTTATTAATGAACTGAAACTACGTTTGTGTGCCGATGATGAATCCATTGCCTAATTTTTTGCGCCATTGCAATAGTCGCGGCGGATGTGCTAACAAAAAGTAACAACCCTGCGTCGAAGGCTGGAAAATACCCAACGGTGCACAAACGGCGCTAATTGATAAATTAATCAAAGTGAAGAGAAGTTAACTAGCTGAAAACTAACTGGAAAAATAGTGGCACTGAACGCAACGGCAGCTGACAGTGTGCGTGATAATTGATAAATTAGCAGGTGGTAATTACGGGTGGTCAAGGAGGTAGTCGGATGAATGAGGTGATGCTGAGGTCAGAGGATGGGAAAGTGTCACTGATCGGGATGATTGAGATGATTGATGATGCTTAGTTTGGTGAGGGTGATGGAGATGCTAGTGCATCAGCAACTCTCTCACACTCTAATGACGGCGTGAAGATGCCGGTGACTGAGAATTTGTATCAATGAGAGGGTGATTGATGAAGTGAAGATGGAGAGCAGAACAGGGGCAAATAAAGTGGTGGTGGTGGTGGTTGAAAACTATTCATTCAGCCATGATGTAGGACAAACGTCGATGGTGGTCATCGGAATTATCAACAGGTGTGGTTCAATAGTAGTTCAACGGGAGGGCTAATGATATTTGCAAAAAAATGTAAGCACTAAACACTAAAAACAAATCACAAATTACACCATCAGGAAGACAAAAGCCTTAGCTGTACAACACATTATCACCCACAAAGGAGACAGATAAAAGTCTACACAGCAAACACAGCAGCAAACTTGTGCCGAACAGAAGAATAGAATAGCAAACACGTCCAGAGATTGCTGGTAAGAGATGTGTGCTAAGACTTGGCGGCGGTTGAGAACAGGAAAAATCAGGAGAGAGAGAGAGAGAAAGAGAAAGTGTGGAAAAAGTACTGTGTGGGTGGGTGGGTGTACGTGCACGTACTGAGCACCAGCAGCAGCAGAAGCAGCAGCAGTGGTANTGGCTGAGAACAGGAAAAATCAGGAGAGAGAGAGAAAGAGAAAGTGTGGAAAAAGTACTGTGTGGGTGGGTGGGTGTACGTGCACGTACTGAGCACCAGCAGCAGCAGAAGCAGCAGCAGTGGTAGTAGTAGTCATTCTCGAGGTAATTGAGATTACCCCGATGAGATATGCACTCGGCGAGGGGAGAGAGCAGGAGACTGGCTGCTCTAAACTGGCTGCTCGAAATGCCACCAGAATACAGAATACAAGAAGAAGAGGAGACAGAGACGAATGAGCTCCCAGAATAACGACACGCGACACAGGAGGAGGAGGAGGAGAAAGAAAAGGAGGAAAGCCAGCACTGGCTTTTCAGCTTCTTTTCCTCCTTTCCTCAGCAGATCTTCCTCGTCGTCGAGTCAGCAGGCAGCCTTCGACGTCGTCTGAGCAGGCCGTCGAATCGCTCGCTCGAATCCAATGGTTTTTGTTTGTCGTCGCATCTCATGGCAGCCACTGTAGTCTCCCACTGGTCTTTAGGCAGGCAGGCAAACAAGCAATGTAGGTAGAAGTTAGGTAGCCAGCCTCTAGGGCTGCCAAATATATTTAGCACTCGACGATGCTGGTGGCGGTGCTGCTGGTGGTGGTGGTGGTAAACTTTGATATTTACTTGCACATTCACCGGAGTTTGTTGGTGGTGGTGTCGATGGTGGTAGTGCTGGCTGATTCTGTCTCCATTTTGCTTATTTACCCGAGTGAATTAGAATGAGAATGAGAAGTAGAGAATGAAAGCTGACTGGCTCTCCGGTTTCGCTGCCTTGCTTGTGTGTACACTGTACAGCTGCTGAAGAAAGTTAGTTGTAATGACTCTCGAATGACTCCTTCTCCGTCGCCGCTCAATCATTGAGAGAGAGTCAGTTTGTTAGTCGTAGTCATCGTCGTCGTCGTCGTTGTTGTTGTTGTGATGATGATGGCTAAAAATACCCGAGCACCAAAAACTCGAGCATCCTTTCTGGTGTGATCCCTTTTTTACCGCATTTACCGCATAACAACACACATGCACCGAAATGAAAAGGGGAGACAAAGGAGAATCGAAAAAACAAAAAACAAAAATGTGCTTCAGTAAGAGGTGCTGGTTCAAAACAACAAAACACAACAACAGGTTCGGGAGTGCTGACCAAAAACAGATCAACTAAACAGTGCTCACTAGTCGCAGCAGCGCCACCAAGGACAACATCCACACGTAGGAAACGGAGAAGCACGGGTTCCCGCCGACGCCGACGCTGTAGCCACTATTGGAGATGGACTTTTTGGCGTAGAAGTCAGTGAGAAATTCGAGCACTGCGGGCAGCTCAAATTGGCCACCGGTACCTCCTGCTTCGATCGCCCCATAGCTGGTGCTGGAACCGTTGGAGAAGCAGGCGGGACAGAGACGAACGCCGGGAAAGAGCGCCTTCGGGTGGAAGGGATCCTCGGTGAAGGGGTCGCCCTCCAGGCGCTGGTTGACCTGGTTGTGCAGCCGCCAGAGGAGGAGGACGCTGGCGTTGGCCGTCGTCAGCTCGGCGGCCATCTCCCGCGTGGCGGCCACAAAATGGGCCGCGCACTGTTTGCAGCTGAAGAAGGCGGAGGTGTAGTTGCGCATCATGTAGAGCACCTCGTGCTTGACGCCGCCCTGCGGCGGGCGCAGGTACTCGTTGACCGTCAGCACGTGAAAGAGCACCCACATGCCGCAGGGATAGCCGCGGTACTTCGGCTCGCTGCCATTGCAGAAGCGGTAACTTTCCGTGGGCCAAAGAAAGCCGTCGCTGATCTTGACCGCCTCGCGTAGGCGCACTCGGTTCATGTTAGTGACGTCATGGTGGTCGAGCCACATGTTCATGCGCTTGAAAAGGCGGCGGACGTTTTCATTTCGAAAGGGAAAGTACCGGTAGACGACGGAGAAGTACTGCTTGATGGCGTGGACGTGGTGCTCCTCGTACGGCTCCACTTTGAGCATCTCGTCGAGGATGGAGGTGCGCATGGTGTTGTAGAGGTCAATGTAGCTCAGGCGGTAGCGAACCACCTTCTGGTTAGCTTTGGTGTCATTCTTAGCTTTGTTGTTGTTGGGGATGGGGAGGTTGCGGTTGCTGTTGTGATCTGGATCAGGACTGGGGTACTTTGACCAGATTCGTCGTTCAAAGTCGTTCTTCAGCGCCGCCATCGACTGGCCGGAGTTCATGACCGGTCTGCGGTGAAGTTAAAAGGGGAATAAGAATGTTTTTCAAAGTAAAAGAACATCAAGAACTTACTGGAACGTACAGCGATCGACGCTGACCTCCAGAATCGCCGGCAGTGTGACGTGAATGGTGGCCAGCGACTCGGCCAGCGAGTCAGTTCGATCGTAGAAGCGCTTCAGGCGGACGACACTGCGCCAGTTGAGTAGATCTAGTATTGTCTAAAAACGGTAAACAAAAAACTAGGAATCAAAATGGCAAACAAAGCATCCCCGAACTCTTACCTCCGCACTGGTGACCGTCGGCTCGTGCTCCACAATGGCGTACAGCTTCGTCTCGCCGCTGATGCCCTGCTCCAGCGGCGTGGGCGAGCTGAAGGCGTAGCCAAATGAGGCGCAGATCTCCTCGCGGCTGGCCACCAGAATCGCCTGGACGACGCCTCGCCGGGCCCGATTTAGCTGCTGAAGGACGGCGGCGTAGAGGCTAGCGGTGGCGGTGGCCGTCGATGATGCTGATTTCGATGCCGATGCCACATCATTCTCCCCGTCCACCGGGTAGAGGGCCTCATTGAGCGGCGCCCAGTCGGCCACCTCCTCCGCCTTGGGCGGACTGAAGACCAGCGTCGGGTAGCCGACGATGCCCAGCGCCAGGCAGCGGTCGGCGTAGCGCTCGTTGGCGCAGTTGATGGCCACGGCCTTCACCGCCGCCCGCCAGGGCGCCATCGTCGCCGCCAGAGCGCTGAAGATGGGCGCCGTGTGCTGNCGGCGTAGCGCTCGTTGGCGCAGTTGATGGCCACGGCCTTCACCGCCGCCCGCCAGGGCGCCATCGTCGCCGCCAGAGCGCTGAAGATGGGCGCCGTGTGCTGGCAGTGGCCGCACCAGCTGGCGTAGAACATCGCCACCGTTGCCTCCGTCTGCCCGAAGAGGTTCGCCGCCAGGTTTCGCTCGTTCAGCGAGATCACGTAGGGGTCGTTGGTGAAGAGGCCGCTGTCCGTCTTTTCATCTTCTCCATCGGAAAACACTGTATCTTGGTTGGCTGCTGTTGCTGAAGTGGAAAGGTAGATAATGAAGAAGAAGAGGGTGACCAAAATCGTATTGGAGATGGTTTTCATTGTGACTAGTGAGAGAGGAGGTAACAAGTTTAGAGTGACTCAGAAGAAGATGCTGAAAATGTAGGCAAAGTTGGCCATTCAATAGCTGTTCGAGAAATAGAATTTCTAGAAAACAATACTGAATGATCTTCTGCTGCTGCTTCTACTGCTGAAAGCTCAATTAGCGAAAGTAGGCGCTTGCGGTTCCAAGGTTAACTAGTGTATGTGCTTGCCGCTTGGGAAAAGGATGCGCTGACAGATGAACTGTGGTTGCCGTTTCGGAAGAACTGTCTGTCAGAGTACGGGATAATAACAACAGACACAGACAAACGGGCACACTGGGGCAATCGGAATGAGAGAATGCTGCTGATGATGAGTATATAGAGCACACTGTCTGTCGTCGTTTAGCCGATGATTGCTGGAGCCTCCTGTCCGAAAGCAAGCAAACGATTTGCGCATAATCTTTAAAAGTAAAAAGTTTAAAAAGTTTAAAAACAAAAGGTAAATGAAAGTGTCATCACTGTACGACATGATTTCTTTCAAGTTATTGAACAGTTTAGAAGCAGATTTTGATTGCTGCAAAAAGCGGCGGCAAAAAGCCGATTCAAAGCTGCGGCACGCTGTCTGTGGACAGTCCTCGAGTGCACGTGCTTAATTTTTGTTTTGATTTTTTGAATACCTTTTGGATTCTTGATTCTTGATTTTAAGATTGTTTTATTTTCAACGTTCCAAAATGTCCGACTCTAGTGATGAGGATGTGGACCTGTACGAGAATGATAGCTTTGATGATGACGGCGACGACGATGGCGAGGAAGAGGTGCTAGCTAGCAGCGACGACGATGATGATGATGACGATGATGAAAACGGCGAAGAAGTGGAAGGACTTCAGGCGAAGACGGACAAGTTCAGTCGCTTCAAGATTGAGCGGAAGAAGGATGACATGGCCAGTGACATTGAGGAGGATGACGAGGACGACGGGCTGCCCAGTTCACAGGCGTGGGGTGCCAATAAGCAAATCTTCTACGACACGGACTTTGTCGATAAGGACTACCGAAGTAAACTTTGAAATCATTGCTTATTTTAAAACTTAACATTACTAAACTGTTTTTATCATTTCAGGTCAAAAGGCAAAAGAGGAAGATCTAGCAAAGTACGAAGAGGAGGAGGCGCTGGCGATTCAGAAGCGCCTGCTGACTTCGGTCAACGAGAAAGACCTCGGCTTGGACTTTCTATTTGACGCCAAGCCGACACAAACAAAAGCAACCGAATCTTCAACAGGAGAAAATGAGGAAGAGAAACAAAAGGACCGCCTCAGGCGGGAAAAGGTGGGCCTCAACCTGTCTGCTTTGAACCGAGGGCAAAAGCTGGCCATAATTCGAAAAGAGACGCCCGAGCTGGAGCCACTGCTCGCCGACATGAGGCGTTACCTGGCCGAGCTCAAGGACGACCTTGAGCCGGCTCTTCACCGCCTGAAGAGCTGTCCTAGGGCGCAATCGACGCCCGGTCTCCGCTACTTGCAGCTTCGTTTCCGCCTGCTCCTCAACTACTGCACCAACATCTCCTTCTACTTCTCGCTGGTGGCCAGCCCCGCTGAACGGTCCAAAGATCACCTTCTGCGAGATCATCCCGTCATTCGGGAGCTCTTCCGCCACAAGAAGCTCATCGCCGAGCTGGACGCAGTCCGAAAGGAGAAGGGCGGCAAGAGCTTTGAAGCGGAACTCGAACTGCTGGCAAAGAGTATTGCCCAGAAGGGTGAGAAGCTGGTCTTTGTCAGTAAAGAGCCAGCTAAGGAGACGGCAAATGATGAAGAGCAAATCGAAACAGCCGGCGTTTCGAAAACCACCAAAAAATCTTCTGCTTCGCTTGATGATGATGACGATCTCGACGAGGACGACTTTGAGGGTGATGAGGGTGAAGAGGAAGAGGAGGAAGGCGACGGCAAGCGGGCCATCACCTACGCCATGGAGAAGAACAAGGGCCTGATACCGAAGCGGAAGCGAGAGCAGCGCAACCCGCGCGTCAAGTACCGCAAGAAGTTCGACCGGGCGACGCAGCGTCGCAAGGGCCAGGTGCGCGAGCCGAGAAAGGAGGTGAAGAAGTACGGCGGAGAGCTGACCGGCATCAACGCCCGCACTGTGAAGAGTGTCAAGTTCCACTAGAGAGGAAAAAGGAAAAGTTTTTGTACAGAACCGTTTTTATTTTATGTAAATGTGGTCATCAAAAGTAAAAAGTAAAAAACAGCAACTTCAGTTATAATATGCTCCCTCACGGGGCACAGAGTAACAGGTCTGAGACGAGATGTGGTGTGTGTGTGATGATGTGTGTATGGAGCAAATGTTATGCAATAAGTTAAAAAAGAGTAATTAAACAGGGTTGAACTGAACAGGTACCGTAGGCACTTTGAAGAAAGGCACTGGTGGGGGGAAGGTGATGACTAAATGAAAAGAAAAAAAAGAAAGAATGACTTAGGTGTTCGGTAGGGAAATGTTGACTACGGCTGATGGGCTGAACTAGATAGATAGGGTGTGTTGGAGGATATGGTTGAGAAGAGAATAGCAATAGGTTTCAGAGGTAAATTATTGCTCATCGACGACACAGCTGCTTATTGGCACTCGGTGGTGGTGGTTTGTTGTTGGACGAGGTAAGCTCGTTGGTGATGGTCGTAGCGGGCGGACTCTTGCGCTTCTTTGGGTTGTGACTCAGCACCTCGGCGGAAAAGGGAAAAGCTGCCGCAGTGGTGGTGTCCACCGAAGTTTTCGAACCAGAAGAATGAGACGGCGGTGCCGAGGGTGCTTTGAGAGTGGTGAAGAGAATGTTTGTGCTGGTGGTGGTGGTGTTGGCTGGCTTAGCTTTGAGAGGTGACGAGCTGCCATCACCAACTGAACTGCTGCTGCTGAACACAGGAGAGGGCTCTCGCTGACTTACACTTGATGATAGCTGCTGCTTGAGTAGGGAAGTTTCGAAAGCTGCCGTCTCCTTCTGATCATCCTCAGAGCTGGGAGGTTCATTGTTGTTATTGACCTCGACGACCTCTTTTCCGCCTTCGCCGCTGCCAAAGGCTAGGGGCGAAAAGATGGCCGGCTCGCCGTTGGCAAAAATCTTGGCGTGCTTCTTCGGATCAAGGATGTACTTCTTGAAGCAGGCCTCGAGGAGGCAGGCCTTGCAGCGAGAGCCGGGCAGGGTGATGTTCAGCTGACAGTGACCGGTCCCGGTGACGCAGCTGTACTTCACCGGTTTCTGTGAGTAGCGGTAGAAGAACTTGGCGCAGCTCTCGCAGCTGAAGACGCCATAGCGGCGGCTGATGTGCGAGTAGTAGCGGGTCAGATCTGATTGGAATAGAAAGAGAAAGAGAGAGAAAGTGATTGAAAAGAATAAAGAAAACCTAAAACAGTTATCGTTCCAACACTTACCACAAACTTCACAGGTCACAAAGCCGCCCTTGCCGTGGGCCCCGTTGACTTTGTTGTTGCCCTTTGCTTCGAGGCCTTCTTTGGCGGCGGCAGTGGCCACAGCAGCCTTCAGGTTGTCCTCCACCTTCACTGCAGGGTCAACCACCAAAAGAGCCTCTTGAGCTTTCTTGCTGCTCAAAATGGTTGGCATTGTCTTCTTCATATTCTTCTTCTTCGCTACATAATTCACCTGATTATTAAAGCCATTGTTCACCGCCGCCTCCGGACCGTCGTAGGGATCACAATAGGAGGCGGCCATAGCTTCAGCCGCCACCGCCATTTCAAACTTCGGATCCTCGTAGTCCTCCGTGGCGGAGATCACCGGAGAGTGAATCATCGATTCGCTGGTGCTCGAGTAGGTTGAAGTGGCGGTGGCCGTCGGCGTGGGGAACTCCCCGGCCATGTGGTCCA